AATTAGGTACCTATAACAGAATGAATATCACATTTTTTTTATACAAAACATAAGTTAACCGAAATCAACCAGTGTAATATTCAAATTACAGTACAAAAATTATTGAAAATGCATCTTTAAATATTTTACATCAACAATCAGAATAATTTCCTAAAAAACTCAAATCTGGCTTCATAATCTTTCTGGCCTAGAATGGAATAACGATGGCGATTATGCGCATTTTTCAGGTGCTTCTACCCCCTAATTTCTGATTCTATCTGAAACTATTGCTTTTGGTGCTTTATACCAACATAACAAATTACAAAACCACAGTAAATAACATTCTCGATCTTGTTCTTTCAATTGAGTTTTCTCTTCAAGTTACTAACAGTATTTTTTCTATTTTTCCAGCTGATGTGGCCCATCTACCCATGTTTATAAACGGTCTTCAATACTCTTGTAATTATTATTTATTTCCTAAGCCATTCGAATTCAATTTTCTTAAAGGTAACTATTGTAGTAAGAACTATTATCTTTGCTCTGTTGATTGGGAATCTATTTTGGATGACAGATATAATATCACTGAAATGTTAAACAATTTTTATTCGGTTTTATATGACGCTATTAATTTATTCATTCCTACATTTCTTGTCCATAAATCTACTGTCCCTAATTGGTACAGTCGTAAACTTAAATGGTTATTTAGTTATTATTCGATAAAAAAACGTCTTCATAAAGCATATGTGTTAAATAAAGATCCCATTATTGTTAATGAGTTCTAACGCACTCGAGCTCTCTGCAAATTGGAATCCAAAAAATGGCATTTATTTCATATCAATAAATTACAAACTGGTACTTCCTATCAGTGTTGAGAAAGTTCCTTTTTAAAAGAATCTCGTTCCGTTCCCCGTTCATTTTCTAAAATAAGAACTCGTTCCAGATCCTCGTTCCTTATTCAAACAAGGAACTCGTTCCAGATCCAGTTTTTCTAAAAAAAGAATTCGTTCCACTTTTCGTTCCTTTTTTGTAACCAAGTTATTAAAAAAATTTGCTATTTTTAAGGTATATTTTAATCATCGTTTCAAGATATTACGTTTTTCGTCAGTATGTTTTGTGTATTAGATTTGAAATGGGAAATCGTGTCTATTATAAGTTGCCATGTGTTAATTTAAGTTTGAAGAAAATCTTTTAGATTGTCAAAACCCAGTGCTTGTGGTACAACCATTTTATTCGGATAATCGGCAGCCGTGCCCATCATAGCCATTAGAATCCAACTGATATTTGAAAAGCTACATCCGATCAACCAACACACCGAAAGCAACTGTTCAAATGTCCATCATCATTGAGAGGAAACGGAGTTTTCGACGTTTGTCTGTAATCCAATCTGAAAAAAACGTACCTACATAGTTTTGTTAATATTAAAAATGTTTAAGCGCAACCAAATAATATGTTTAATAGTTTAATAGTGTTAATAATAATTGGTCATGAATAAGAAAATGAATACCTACAAAATCTTATCATCATCTATATCATCTGGTCACCATAGTTTTAATTTCTCTGAATTTGTTCGATGTTTATCTAACCCTCCGCTTCTGAGCTTATAAAAATTAGTTTTAAGTCAATAAAAAGTAAAAACCCTTATCAAATACTTTTTTATATGCCTACACGAATCTTTCATTCCGATACTCAAGAAAATACACACAAATTAAACAACGTTTAGGTAATAACTTAATTTTTTTTTATATTTAAAATATATTTATAATATAATTGGAATACATGAAAGCAAGTTATTTGAATCATTAAATTGTAGTTACCCTGTATATAAATAATATTCCAAGAGTATATGCGAAAAAATCGTGAGTATATTTTATTGAATACGTATTTTTTAATTTAAAATGTTTATCTTTATTTTGTACTTGAACTTTTTAAATTTGTTTTTCGATAACATAATATTTAACTTTTTTAACGCAACTACACAAAAAAAACATTAATATTAAAACCCAATTTTTTTACATAAAAAATACAAAAATCTGTTTCTCTCGTAACCTAGTAAAGTTTCCAAAGAAATTTTATATATTTACAGATTTTAAGTCGTACCGTACTAAGTAGACGAAATTTTGTCTGGTTTTTGGGTCTAAAACGCCAAAAAAAAACCCCGACCGGAGCAATCCCCTAAATATTACAATACTCTTAATGTATTACAATAATATATATGACAAATCTAAGTCATAAGCATAGTAAAAAAACTGTAATTACAAAAATAATGAAATATATTTCATATTTTACAAAAAATCCATATTGTTGGTGAACAAAAAAGGTTTGGCCGGGGGATTATAGACGGCAGCAAACGCCTAAATCGTATGTTCATAAGGCCCAAGCCATGTGAAACACCTGCATCCGACATCGTATGTTTCATGAGGCCCGAGCCTTATGGCTAGTTCGGTGTTAACTGCCATCACACCCCCTGGCCAATACTGAATGCAAACTCGTATATATACCTTGCCAATGTCGAGAAACGAACACACGGTAGTAGATGTCATAATTTTGTCATCATTTTGCGTTTCTTTAATAAACCGTAAAACTTGGCTTGAAAAGAAATCGCAATTAGATTGAAACCATGTAAATGCTACACTTTCCGCAAAAAAACACGATTGATCATCGCCGCTTTTATGTGATAAATTTGAAAAACTGTAGTGGTCTCAAACGAGCTGAGAGGAAAACCCCAAGCGACGAATTATCAGAGGCTCCGAAACAGCAGTATTTTTCCATTGCTGTATACAATTCCATAAAAGTAAAAGCAGATTGTGTGGCGTCCTCTGGTTGACAATATATGTACAACTAAATCACACGAGACACTGAAATGTGGCGCTGTAAGCAACGAAATCGGTAAACACGAAAATGGCCAAAACCACACTGTTTTTACAAACAACGTCCGACCGTTAATTTAGCAAATACAAATAAATAGAAAAACTTGTACATTTCATAACCAATGCACTAAGGCTTAGAATACTTTTTAAATTTACTGCCTGTCTCCTGTGTTAGTTCTTTCATTTAATTATCTTATATTTAAATTACTTTTACTTATAATAATAATTTTAATATCCAACACAAAAATTGTAAGACTACTATCAAATATAATGACTAATCAAATATTCCCGATATAATATCTGTAAATCATAGACCTATAAAAAAATATAACATTATTAACATTCTAATATTTAAGTACGTTGTCGAATTATTTTCAAATTTAGCATTAAAAAATACATTTTCGAGTGTTTTTTTATTTAAGTTATGTTCAAATTAGTTTTTACTATTGAAATTTATAAAAAAGAACTAAAAAGTCTGGTTAGGTTAGGTCTTATCTTGTCCTTGGACTCGTTTTCGCTCATTCTCAGCTCTGTGTTTTGCCTAGCTATCGTAAATCGCAAGGAGATTAAAGATCAGTAATAATCAATATTCAGGAACCAGCAGGCTAAAGCACGTTCCATGTTTTATAAATTAGGCAATTGGGTTTTATGTAGACTCTAACTTTTTTTTTGCTATCCAATTATATTACTCCGTTATAATACGTGGTATCGGCCGCATAACATACACAAATAACAATCGTGCATTTTATACAAATATTATATATTATGTTGGTATCACTCGGGTGGCTGTTTGTCAAGGCGCTCCGTGGCGTGCTTCCTGAAAAACTGCTCTCGTCAGCTCTTTTGCGCATATTAATTTTTCTATCACATAATAAATTATGTGACTTATCGTATCCTCCCTGCACAAGACTACATAGTAAATTTTAAGTACATTATTGCTGGTCCCACGATATCTTCTAAACCGCCTATAACTGGTTTGAACATACTAGGTATCCACAGATTTGCATCGACGCCTTTATTTAAAAGTGATTAAATCACTTTCAGTTTTAATAAAATCTGTAGACCTGTGACCTCTCCGTCCCCACTATGCCCCGACTCCACTGTACTGGCTTTTTTTATATACATGAACAATTCATTCCGATACTCATGAAAATGCACACAAATTATACAATGTTAAATAACTTATTTTTTTTTTAGGGCACCAATATACTTAAATAAACCAGTAACCAATAAATAAACAAGTTCGATAGTTAATACACTTTAATATAGCCAAAAGCGTATGAATAAATGAACAATGTACGGTTGTGTTCATCGAAATCGCTCCATATATGTAGATTCTCTGAGCTTGATCAACAATTGGATCGTTTTGAAATAGATATCAGCAAATATATTTTTCATCAATCCGATCAACAATTCGGCACACAGGATGGTCGTTCTAGTGAGAAACTTAACTATACCTATATACTTTGTTTTGACACTACATTTTGTATGTTTATTCAAATTAATATTATTATTATTTGTGCACTTACAACCAACCGATTTATAATAATTTCAAATTAGGTTAAATTATTTTTGTTAGATGAAAATAATATGTATAAGTGAAATTAAATGATGGAATTACTTACTAAAGAAAAGATTATAAAATTTAAAAACCATCTTCGGTAATTACTTGTAAAGATTTTTCAACTTATTTTTGTCAAACCCTAACATAATAATTAAGTTCGTAAAAGGTGTAAAACACTGTTATAATACAATTTAAAGAAATGTAAAATATTGTAAATTTAAGCGCTTACTATTCTTATATAATTAATAATTATTTATTATTTATTGTTTTAGCATTTAAGCGGACGACTTCGTAGATCAATTTGCACGTCAAGACATGATATGGTATGGTGTTCGGTGTAGTCTGTCGATTATGTAACATTATAAAACGTACGTATTTGTATAAAATAAAAAATACCTATTGAATATTTTTTGTGCGTAGCGTTCAGAATTCAAACCGTTTTTTTGGCGGCAGTTTGGCGTCTGGTCGTTTTTCCTTCCATGACCAAACGAAGGCAGTTAACCTCAATCTACGGTGTCTACCGTGTTTGCGTTCACCCGGTGGCCTCGGCTGGTTGTATAATATTATATGCTGATGTTCCTTGGCCGCTCGCCGTTGTATCGTGCATTGCCTATAACTGATATGCATACAGCACAATAGGTACGCGTTAGCGGTGTCGTTTTTGTTGTCACTGAACGTCCGGTTGAAATTTCGCAAACGGCCACTGTCCTAGTGCATTTAATTAACAAACCGAAAACGCGCATCGTTCCAATTATGGCCCAGAGCAGACAGTCCCGGCTGTTGCCGGATGATTTGTCTCACGTCGAGTTCGAGACCAGCGAAGATGTCGAAGTGTTGTCGTCGTTCGACTCGATGCATTTGCGGGAGGACTTGATCCGAGGCATCTATTCGTACGGTAAGTATCCAAAGCACAGGTTAAAGTAGATGCATTTTTATCTAAACAAACACCAACGACGGCTTTTGTTCGACACAGGTTTCGAACGTCCGTCGGCCATCCAGCAGCGAGCCATCAAGCCGATGATTAAAGGAAGAGACGTTATCGCACAAGCGCAGTCGGGTACGGGTAAGACAGCAACGTTCTCCATTGCAATGTTACAGTCGATCGACACTCAACTCAGGGACACGCAAGTCCTATGCTTGTCGCCGACCCGTGAGCTCGCTGTACAAATTCAAAAAGTAATTAGCCCTCGTCGTATATACTGTTACAAATTACGTTAATTAAATCAATACCATTTTGTTGACTTATCGACGCACAAACGATTAGCACGGAAATAATTTCTATTGTTTTCGTAAACATTATGTAAAAAAAAACAGCTTTGTTGCGTTATTAATGAATTACAAAATAAAAAAATTTCCACAATTAAACGATTAACGGCTATAGATATGACAAGTCAATTACTTGACAAAAATGGTATTAAAATAATTTCCATTTCGATAATTTTGTTTATAAACAAACTTTTTTTTACATACAAAAAAATATCTATTAAGAGATCATTTTTGATTAACAGTGGTAATTATAAAAATACCTTTCTATTTGTTGCAATGGGTGTAATTTTTTTTATTTAAGCATAGGAAATTTTTTTATTATAGGTTATGTACAGTTTATCTGGAAGAATTGTCTGTTTTGGTCAATTTTAATATTTATAATCAACTTTTCATAAGCTCATAATATCAGTTTTTCTAATTATTCACAATACTAGTTAAACTGTTTTCTATTTCATCTTTTGACATGGAAATTTTATTTAAGAGTGGATGGAACTTTTTTTCAATCAATATAGCCCACCATCTCTTTACTTTTGTTGATGATACAATTTTCATGCGTTATAATGCAGCCGTTGAAGTTTTCCAAATTACCTTTTTTTCATGATTTTTTGGTTTTGTACTGATTACAAATTCCTTTTTTAGGTTGTATTGGCATTAGGTGACTACTTGAATATACAATGTCACGCATGCATCGGTGGAACAAATCTTGGAGAAGATTTAAGGAAGTTAGATTTTGGTCAACACATTGTTTCTGGAACACCAGGCCGTGTCTTTGGTTTGTTTTGATTTACTTAAATTTTAAAATTATATTGTATTTAAACAATTCATTAACATTATTGCATTGCAATTTTTCTGTAGATATGATAAGACGTAAAACTCTGCGTACACGTAATATCAAAACGCTAGTACTCGATGAAGCTGATGAAATGTTAAACAAAGGATTTAAAGAACAGATATATGATGTGTACCGTTTCTTACCTCCCGCAACACAAGTACGATTTATTCATTTGCTTTAATTGTTATTGCTTTAATTATAATTGTATATGGTTTTTTTTTCTTAGGTCATTCTTATATCTGCTACTTTACCCCACGAAATTCTGGAGATGACAAATAAATTCATGACTGATCCAATAAGAATATTGGTAAAACGGTATGTGCAAAAAATGTTTACTGTTTAAATAGAATACTAATGGGTTTTTTTTTTTTTTTTCAATAATTTTGTTTAGTGATGAGTTGACACTTGAAGGTATCAAACAATTCTTCGTAGCCGTTGAACGTGAAGAATGGAAATTTGATACTTTGTGTGATTTATACGACACACTTACCATAACACAGGCAGTTATTTTCTGCAGTACAAAAAGGAAGGTCAGTCGGATATATTTTTTTTTTTATATGCTTTACTTAACTCATAGTTTCTCGAGACTAAGGTGCTCAGTTAAAAATGAGTAATTTAAATATATTATCATTTTTTAAAACAAACTTTTCTATGTCAATATATTATTAATTTATCCAATATATCTCAGTTAAAAATTCTCAATATTACAAAAATAATTTTCAATGTATTAAAATACTGCTTACGATATGTTGATTAATAATATTAAAACAGATTTACAATATTAATTAAATATCGACAACATATTGTAACCAATATTTGCGAAGATTACATTTCTCACTAAAAAAATCATAATAGTAATAGTAATTATAAAATAAATTACAAAATGTTTGTTAAAACTGTTGTAAACGACTTGTGTAACATCTTAAACAAAAAGAAATTAAATTTCATAAATTCAATTAAAATTGTATATTCTCACTAAATATTTTTTTAAACTGTATAAATTTTTTTACAAATAAAATAATTATTAATTACTCTGCTAGTTGAATTATTCTTTGTTCAATTTGTTTTTTTGTACTTTTGTTCACAAATTGTTTCTTTTCTTTTTCAAAAATTAAATATGTAATTTCAATCTTACTAAAATTAAATTTGATATTTGTTTAAAATAAAATAAATTTAATTTTAAACAAATATAAACTACTGGCGCTTACAATATTTAGATAATTTTATAAACACCAATTATAACGTTTAAAATTGTATGGTAAAACGTTAAAAAATAAATGTGTGAATATTTTATTAAAATGGTTCAATAAATGTAAATTCGTTATTTTTAGGTTGATTGGTTGACTGAAAAAATGAGGGAATCCAATTTTACTGTCAGCTCGATGCACGGAGATATGCCTCAAAAAGAAAGAGATGCCATCATGAAGGAATTCCGTGGAGGCCAAACGTAATTAATATTTATTTTATTTTTATCAGTCATAACTTTTTGTCGAAAAACAAAGTAGAAATTTAACTTGACTATTATGTTACACACAGGAGAGTTTTGATTACAACAGATATTTGGGCACGCGGAATTGACGTACAACAGGTCTCGTTAGTCATCAACTACGATTTACCCAACAACCGTGAGTTGTACATTCACAGGATTGGTCGTTCTGGTAGATTCGGCCGTAAGGGTGTTGCTATTAACTTTGTTAAAAGTGACGATATCAGAATATTACGTGACATTGAACAGTATTATTCCACACAAATTGATGAAATGCCAATGAACGGTAAGAGCATAGTTACCAAAATTGTTAAGGAACTGGCTACTGTAATCAAAATCTTACATTTTACAACAAAAAAAACCATACTTAATGTTTCGATTAAACAAAAATTAAATTATACATTTTTATTTTGTTCTAGTTGCTGATTTAATATGAACACTCACGCCGAAGATGAAAATATTATTACTTTACACTTTGACAATTTTTTTTTTCTTTAGTATGTAATTTGATAAGCTATAAACTATGTATCCTAAATTAGTAACATTATAATATACATAAACATTTTTAATATCTCATTGATTGGTATGACGTACAAAATGCTAACAAAATTATCACTAAGTCTCGACGATAATATTAATACATGCACCGCAATAGTATTCGAGGTGGTGTTGCCTGTGCTCCCGTTTTTAATCTTTTGTAATTTCTTTATTATTATATTTCACTGCCCATAAATATGTTTTATTTTTAATCAAGCAATCAAATGTATACATCTACAAAGATACAATTGATTTTTTTTTTTTAAATTATATTCTTAGCTACCAGTTTTTAGTTTTTTAATTTCATTTATTTACAATGAAAATATGTAAAAACAGTGTGTGTGGACAGTCTTGAACGCACAACCTTAATAATCAAACACCTTTATTTGTTCCTGAAAACAAATGTATTATTTTAAACATTTTCAAACGTTCTAATGATGCAATCTTAAAACATATACTACAGAATTACATTTTACCATTGTATTCTCGTTTAAAATTCTAACGTAAATGTTATTAAATTTGTGTCAAGTAAAATATCCTCTACCGTATGTTCACATCCCCGTTCTTGTCTGACACAAAGGAGCAAATAGATGGCGTTTCATGCTTTTCCAAAATTTCAACCAATAATCATACGCGGACATCGCCAATAAAAAGTGAATTATTGTAAGGAAAACAACGATTCCACAAAATAGACACATTTTACAATTAAACTTTGTAGATTAAGCGAAGCAAGTGTTGTTAAATTAAAACAATTCAAACATTTGTGTTGCTATTTAATTAGTGTTTGTAGATTTTATGTGTAAAATCTAAAAAATTATAATAGCCATTAAATAAAAATGTATAATAGGTACTGATAAATCAAGTGTTATCGTTTTCCTTATGCAATACTTGCATTATAAACGCGTGACAGGGTATTTTTTTATTTTATGGGTAATCGCCATTAGCAAAGACTTGAGAAATATGTTTTTGTTTTATGTTTCTAAATTGAAAGATCAAATATAGTAATAAATGTAAATTTATCAATGGTAAAGTTACATTGGGAACTAAAATTGGGAAATTAATGATTCATATAACTTTGTAAAGTTAAGTTTAATATTATAAGAAAAAGTGAAATACTAACAACTTAATATTAACTTATGAATTAGCTCAAGTTTTTTGAAACCATGGAGGTATTACATCTTTATAATATATTTGCTAGAGTAAAAAGGCAATTCTATAATAATAATACTGGTTTCTTTGATTGAAAATGTTGTCATTAAAGCACAAAAGCATAATGATAGTGCATTATGCTTTTGGATACAATTTCTGTTTTACCACATAAACAAAACAATTTAACGGTTCATTCAACATACCTATATCGTGCATCGTTACACAAAAACAATAAGATAAAAGCCAGGTCTACAGAAGTTATAAAAAATGATAAAATTCATCGAGCTACATTGTGTGCAAAATATTTCTTTTTCACCAAAGTAAAACGTTAACTTCCTCTAGAGTGCACCTAAGATACTTTAGGTACATTTAGACTACACATTTCAATTTGAAGATTTAAGAGTACATTTTCAGACGATAAACTAATTTCCTAACCAATAAAAATAAACATGTTTATTTAGTTGAAGGAAAAGAATTGACATAAAAGTTAGTGTTGTAGAAAATACATTTTGAATTGCGTTTAAACTACATATATTAATTCTTAAGAGAAAAACAATTCCAATTTTTGAACACTTATCAAACTATAATGTTTGTGCCTATTATTTCGTTTTTTTTTATTGGTTATTCTTTGTTGCAAATATTTTCTATGAGAATACAACATTATTTATTATATATATATATATATATATAATATATATAAACATACAAAACTTAATTAATAAAATAATATAAAGCGAGCTGCCCATTAATTTGCGTTTCCAATACAACACAACATACATATAATTAATTGAATGACATAATTTTTTTGTAGACAAAAAATAACAAATGAATACACAATAATAAAACAATTGAATATTGACATTTTTTAAGTTGAACACTAGTAAATACAATCGATTCAAGTAGACAATCTGTTTTACAGACAATTTGTCATCTAATTTTACACATTTTTTAGCAGACTTTATCCTTTTTACACATAACTGTATTGTTAGTTGAGTATTGAGTTAACTGTTTGAGTTCAGACAAGCGATAAAATAATAAGAAATATCCAGCAACTAATATCGACAAAACAAAAAATTAAATAATAATAATAATATTTATAATATACTAATATAAAAAACAAGTAACTTATAGATTAATTACATTAAACAACAAGTAACAAGTAAAAAAAAAGATTATAACAAATAAATATTCAAAGTAAAAATATATCAACAAAACTTATCGAATAAGAGTTATTGGAAAGTTTTCTGTTACTAAATGTTCATCTTCAAAAACGATTGAGATATTTACTTCAAATTCTGCAAACAGGCAACAAACAGAAAATTATCTAAATGAATTGAACAATTTTACTTTTTATGCTATATAAAAGCGTAGGTACGTTAAACTGAGTACATTCTAATTTATCTACAGATACATAAGGTACAAATCCGTACCATGAATTTTAAAATCGAAACTCTACGCTTACCTATTTTAAAATTAGCCGTTTTAGTCGTTGAACATGAAAACAACCGTGGAAATATCATAAAAATCGGTAGAGAAATTCCTGTTGCCACATTACCTTCTGCTATTTGAATGTTTTGAATTTCTGTACCTTTACAAAATCAAACGACCGACGAGTTCAATGATTTTATTTAGGGTTAAAATCCAACTACGTTTATCGACACAACGAAAAATTGAAAAATCGCAATACAACACTTACAATCTTTAGAGAAACCTTCTGCACATCCACAAGTCTCCACGCGAACCAACTGTACGTCTATTGATTTAATTGGCACATCAGAGTGTTCTATTTTCAACTGAAATACAACAAATAAAAAATAAACAAATATTTCAGCTGAGGAACTTGCGCAGGATGCTCACTTCTCCTTTGAACGGCTGCGTGATCGAACAAATAACTGTGTCTATCATTCCAATAATATGAAATTTCGGTATATTAGCACAGTCATTAACGTTAGTCAAAGTATTTTGATTGATTACAAACTTATCCACTTTGTTAGCTATAGCGTCGGAATGTGACTGTTAACATATAAACACATTTTATTTCAAACAACTATTACAGATCGCTTTTAAGCACATAGGTACCCTATGTTCGACAATGAACTCGAGTGATTTATGAATGTCTTTGTTCAAAAAGTTTCTCTTAATCACAGCCTTCAGTAAGTATTGAATGTTGATGAAAACGCCATGGTATGATTCGTACAGTACTTTGTTCAGAAGCGGCTTGACGGGAGCTTCAAATGAAAATTCGGTAAGTCCCCCAGGCAAACGGCCCGATTGAGCGACATCCAGCGTGCACATCATTAGCTGTATGGGCTTCACAAAAACAGCAGTGGTTATAGGCATGAAAGATAAAAAATATCGTCTGGTTTAAAACCAATAATACCTTGACCGCATTGTAGAACGCATCGAACGTGCCAATATTCTGAGTACTGATCTGTAAATCCACAACACCTTCGATGGACAAAAAAATGCCTTCGTGTTTGATTTCTGTCGGCGAATGAATACTTAAAATGCCACAAATCGTTTCCTATAATAGTTCACAGGTTCACGGATTCAATATCATGCCAATATTACTATACTAATTATTAGTGTTCTTATTATTATAATATATATTATATTAGTATTTTCAAAATTGTCTCAACTCACTCCTTCGTGATATATTTTATTCGGTCTCTTGAGCACAATATCTAAATTTATTGCCATATTGCTTGGACAGCCAATTATTTTAAAACCGATCGTTATACTTAAATTATATTTTGTTATTTGCTTTTCAATTTTCAAGTCTATAAACTTTAGTCGGCTAAATAAATTTATTTTGGCCAACAACCGTGAGACGCTGATATGAGATAAGAGATAACGTTGAAAATACAGACAAGATAAAGTTTTATCTTATCTGTGGTTGAAACGGTTACACCTCAAAGAGCCACTCGACACGGAGCCACTCGACAAACAACCACCGAAAATCGACACGGAGCCACTCGACAAGCAGCCACTCGAAGGGGTACCAACATATACAATATTTATAAAAAATGCACGATTATTATTCGTGTATGTTGTGCGGCTAGTATTGTTTATTTAAAGGGGAAAACTTGTACATTTCATAATTAATGCAATAAGGCTTCAACTATTTTTAATTCACTGTGTGACCTGTCTCCTGTTTTGAGTTTTTTTATTTAAGTTATAATCAAATCAGTTTCTATTATTGAAATTTATATAAAAAAAAAACTGAAAGTATATGAAACAATATTTACAATATTATATTATAATGATAATTTACCAACAATAAATTGTCTCTTGAGTTTGTAAAAAAAAATATTTTTCAAAACATACTTACACGTTTTATAGTAAGTAAAGCAGAATGTTCATTGATCAAATTTCAATGAAATTATACTTTTTTTTTAAATTATTTAATACCGATGTATTATACCTATCTATTTAAAACAATACATCGTGAATACCTCATACGAAACTATTCGATACCCGACAATAAAATTAAACACATTTACTTAAATACTTTACAACTTCCAATAGGCAATAACACAATAATAAATTATAGTTAAATATTATTTAATTTTGTATTATATATTTTCATATCTGTGTATTAGTTATCATGTTATATATATGCCGAAAATAATAATTCCGAAAAAATTTAGAACCAAAACATATATTAACCGAAAATATAATAGCCGAAAAATATTTAAGTCGAAAATAATATTTATTAAAACTATTTAGGTCGAAAATAATGTCATCGAACGTATTTTAGCTGACACTTATTATTTGAACAGAACCTTATAAGTTATAAATTATAATAGTATACAAAAACACTGTTACGCGCGCCGTGTGACCGCGTTGTCTACTGTCTACGCTATTTTTATAACATCTGTGATAAGTTCCATTTGTTATTGAAATATACAGCTATTTTTTATTTTGTGGTTGACATTTTTTTTCCATATATACTACCAATGCTTAATTGTTAGTATTTGTTTATACTTAGCTACACAATAGTAAATTCAAACAGGGACAACCTATGGTAGACTGGCGCCTTACCGATGCTGAATAAAATGTTTATATATTATTAAGCCGGCAGTAGTTTTTTGGGGTCTAAAATAACCGGTATGGTTCTTTTGGATCTAGATATGATACACTCATCTGACTTATCACTAATGTCCAGCTAATATATAAAATAGATCACTCCAGTTTATGTGTAAACAAGGTCAGATACAAGGGGAAGGCTGGAGTTAATAGTTAATAGTTTATAATACAATCTATATTAAAATAAATATAAACCAAGTCAAACTATAACGAATTTATGAGTAGTAAATTCACATGACTTCTTAAAAACAATCCAAATTAACTCAGGTGCTATAATATAATATACATAATATTATCATTGATTATCATTAATCAAAGATATTATGTATAAATGCACAAACAACAAAAAAGTTCAAATATATTAAATTTATATTTATAAACACAGATTTCCTTATTTCACACTATTATAATATACAAGTTAAAAGTTAGCTATAACTTAAATTTAAGTGTCATGTGTATTGGCGTTGTCGATTGCATTATCTAGATGTTTTTATACATGTGCATAGAGTACACAAGGGTTTCACAAAATTATTGATACTTAGTGTGTGATATTATAATTAACGTGAAGTGGGTCTCATACGGTTAAAAAGTTATTAACGAAACGTTAATATTACTAAGTTTACTATGGTCAAGTTTATACAAACTAACGGATGGTTACCAACTGCGGCCATCCATCACTGATGTTAAATAATTATGAGATTCGAGCTATCAAAAAAAAAATATAATGGTTCAACACGTTGGCGGTGGCAGGTACTTAACAAAAGACTGCAAGGAAATAGTTTTTACTAAAAAAATTGATGATTTTACTGTTTTATCTATTTTTAATGTTATAATTATTAAAATTTATTTTATTATTGACCACGATTTAATAAAAAAAAATTGTTTGGCTTAAGTATTCTAACAGCCTTGACAAAAATGTATTTTCTAAAATGATTATGTACATGTTTATTTTTAAAAGTTATTATCAGCAGTAATAAACATATAATATTAATCATTTGTTGAATAAAAACTAATAGTGTACATATTATGAACACAACGGATTTCATACAAGTTATTTTAATATTAAAGTTAGAAACAATTGTACATTATTAAAGAAAAATACTAAATTAATATAATCAAGTTTATAAAAAATGTTTACTAAATTATTTCCACTTGGCTTATAGTTTTTAAATTTTGAACATAGTTGGAAAAATAACAAAATATAGTTAGAACATTACAAATAATTATGGTATAAATCTACTTTACCGGGCACCCTTTTTTTCGATTATTTTTTTAAATCGACAGTACTTTTAATGTTGATTACGAATATGTAAAAAATTTGCACCGCTCGCACTTAGTTTGGAAGTTACAGACTTTTAAAGTTCGCCGAAATCGACATACGTGCGCGCCCGGCACTGCACGTCTACCCGCGCCCGCTGGGTACTTCGTCCGTCGATCGCCGCTCAATTATCATCGGATTCCTCGTCTACCTGCCTCCCGCCCGTCGTGGTCCTTTTTTTTTTTGCATCATAATTTCATCACGCTAATATTTGACTTGGTTGGGATTTTGCTATAGCGAACAATGAACAATTTTTGGCTCGCCCGATGCACATTGTTGAGACTTGAGGATGACTTAGTAGTAAATATTAATGTTTTATCGCGCCCCGCTAATATTATAAAGTATTACGGGCTATTATAAAGCAATACATGTTAATCATTTTTTATAATTTGGTTATTCATTTATATTTTATGATTCTACATATATTAACACAAAATAAATATATAATGCTGTTTTTCTACAAACTCTGATGAAAATTGTGAGGGACACACACACATACATTCATTTATATATATATATATATATATATATATAGATAATAAAAATAGAAATAATTAATCAGATAAAAAAATCAAATTTATATAGATGGCCTATAGCATAAGCCAAATGGGTGGAAAATATACACATTTGCCAATTAGCTAAAAATGTACTTTTTTTGGATTTTTATATCGGTATTTATCTAATTCTAACCCTCTGCTTTGAGTTTTTAATAATTAGTTCTAAGTCAATAAAAAGTAAAAACCTTTATCAAATACTTTTTAGTTGTATATATAATATATACATGGATCGTTCATTCCGATACTCATGAAAATGCACACAAATTAAACAATGTTCAATAATTTCATTTGTTTTATATTTAAAATATATTTGTAATTTAATTGGAATACATGAAAGCAAGTTAAAATATTATTCAATTAATATCGTTGCAATATACATAATTTTTTTACCTATGTATTATATTAATAAATGAGTATCAATAATATAAAAATGTATAATTATTTATAATAATAGAGTAAAAGTATTTAGAAACAATAATTATTATTAATAGCATGAGTTAACAATAAATCCTGTTGAGTAAATTGAAATGTTTACAATGAACATAGTAACAATGTCTACTATACAATAGGGGTTTTAATAAAAATATAATATTTTCTACAAAGTTACTGTTTTTATTTTTATTGATATACAATTTGGAAATTACATTTTTTGCTATTACTCCGTTATAATATGTGGTGTCGGCCGCACAACATACACAAATAATAATCGTACATTTTACATAAATATTGTACATGTTGGTATCTCTTCGGGTGGCTGTTTGTCGAGTGGCTCCGTGTCGTGCTCCCGTTGAAACCATTATCCACGTTATGGGAACACGTCACAGAGCCACACGACAAACAGCCACCCGAAGGGATACCAACATGTGTAATATTTATATAAAATGCACAATTTATTATTATTTATTTTTAAATAATAATTTTTTTTGATAAATCACACTATTAATAATAATTATTATGTTTCTAAATAATTTTACTTGTTATTATAAATAATTATACATTTTTATATTATTGATACATAGTACATGTTTACAAAATATGGTGTATTTTTACACGAGTAACCTACATATTTTTTTAGTTTAATACGAAAACATGTTATTATTTGAACAATACACGCGCACGATATTTTCGACAATAAGATCAAGGTAAACAATTGTTACTATCCACACATACATGATATTTTTCTGCTTATTACTAAAACTTAAAATGTACTTAGACTAAGATGATTATTGCCCCTCGGAATTTTCAATCTCAATTCACCCCAAACGTGTTCCATCAATACGCCGAATTTGAATTTTTATAAAGATTTGAATTCCTGACGAGTCTTTTACCGAGCGATCTCTCCATTCTATAGTGACTTTTATTAACAACTTACAAAAACTGCATGCATTTTTGTAACCGTTTATAAGCTAATAATTTGTAAAAATAAGAAGCTCTACAAAAAGACTATAGTAATAATTAAAGGTAAATTTTTGGAACAATAAAAACCTATCCGAATAACTAATCAAACAATTTGAACAAACGTCTCCTGATAGTTTAGCTTCGAGAAGGGGAAGGCCACAAGACATTAACATGTAGCATTATATTATCTTCAAGGGAAAGAATAAAGATGACACTTTTTTTGTTTTTTTATTTTGTACTTTTAAAGTCTATTTTAAATTTGTTTAATGTAACCAAACAAAATCCACTTTGACCAGAGGCCTCCATGCCTGTGTATATTCTATCGAAAACCACTGTTTTTTATTTAACCGTACTCTGGATCGTGTAAAACTACAATAATTTTGATAGCTGGTACCCATTTTTCAATAATTATTTGATGCATATTTTGTTGTACATTTTGAATTCAAGTTTTAAATTGTATTGTAAAGATTTTTATTATTCACAAAACCTTTTACCGCTCTATTTTATTGCGATTTTGATTAATATCTAATTACAAGTGTACGCATCTTTGTAATCAATAAGCTAATTATTAATTGAAAACAAAATGTATACACTGAAATTAGCTTTCAAAATACTACAACGAGAAAAACTTTGTAAGAAAACTTGCTTTAAAAATATAAGTTTTGAATTTGGTATTATAAAACCTTAAACTGTATAACCTTGTAGTTAATAAGGTTATATTATAGTCAGAAGATAGGATTATATTGTAGCATATTTATCTATAACATATTGAACAAGGGAAAAAATCAGCACTACAATTATTTTTGAATTGCCAAAAAATGTTTTTTGAGGATTTTGTGAATTTTAATACAAGCTCGTTACAGCTTGGAAAAAATGTATCAATTCAAGTCAATCATTTTATAGATACCTATTTAAAGTGATCTTATTTGTTATTCTTAAAAAGTTGTGGAGTTGTATGGAGTTGTTTACACGTTTTATTCGTAACAATAGTACATGGACAAAAATATTTAACAAACAATGAACACATGCACAATAACAATACATAAACCATTTAAATATGTACATTCCCTTCGCCTACAAAATAAGACAAACATATCTCTCTCTATACTGTAAGCAGCAAATGTTCTGTTGCTTTAGTATAGTATACTACATTCTTGGTGTTTAATTATAATAACTACTTCAATAAAATGAATTTGAAAATTATAATTTGTATTGTAGCCACTATATTATTCATAATGATGTCGGATGTAACAGCTCCAGAAGGTATAAAAAATATTTTTAGTATAACATTTTTTTTTTATAGTATCTTCGGCCAACAAAATTATATCAAATATTTCGAATACTGTAGTCGTTTTTACCCGTTTTTCCGACTTTTCTATGAATTTTTACTACTATTATACCCTTTTTATACCTTATTTCATTTTGTGTTCTAAGCGTTTTTATGGAGACCCCCATTTGAAACTATGCACACATTATGTAAAATTTCCTCAGCTTTCTGAATAAAAATATTAGAATAATTCTCAATTTTCTAATTCAAAATACAACTTTTTAGATTTCAAACTCAATTTTAATGACTTTCATTTACACGAAAAAATAAAACTAAAATTTCCAGAAAGATGTTTTTATTTTACATAAAATTCTGATTTGTAATAACTTTTTTTTGATGACCGAAGATACTATAAAAAAAATTGTCAAGAAAAAAAATTAAAACTACTTTAACGACTTAGGCCAATGTAATGTAATTGTAGTTGAATTGACGTGTTTTCTTGCAAACTTAATATTTATTTTATGAATGTAGAAAAATATCAACCTAAAAATCCATTTCAAACTAATACATATGAAAACAACTGTGTACTTAGCTATAGAACAATGAGCCATATGATGCGTTGGGATAAATAAAATATTTAATTATTTTTTTTCGATATTTCAGCTAAAGATACTGGTGCGGATCCTAATACCCGTAAGTTGGATGACAATATCAGTTTTTGTGTGCTTTGCAAAGATACTAGCAGTTTTAAAATTATTTTTAAAAATGTGAAAATATTTATAAAATGTTACTAATGAATTACATTGTTGGTAATAAAAATAAGTTTATCATGTCCATAAGCATATTATTACATATAGTTGTATGTCTAGTTGAAAAAAGTATAATTTGTGGCTAGCCAATTAAAGCACTTTAGATAAACAACTAAAAATTATTACACCAGTATACATACTTAAAAATTAAATTGGAAAAACTATTATGTGAGTTATTATTTTGGCGTTTCAGGCCGACCTCCTCCATTACCTATACCAGTACGAAACCCAAACCCAGCACCAACACTACCGGGTGGTAAGTTTTTGAAACTTAAATAAAACTTATACAGCTGTATTCAACTAAAATATATAAAATGATAGGCTTAAATTGTTTTAGAAATATATATGAATCCCTTGTGCATAATGATAAAAAAGACTTGCATTGTTAAACAACATGTTAAAATTACACTGCAATATCAGTAAATTGAATTATTTCGGACATTGAAAAGTCATTTTAATAATTACTAGTGCTTAATAATACTAAATTAACTAAAGGTTTTGAGTTTAACTTTTTCAGTGTAACCTTTACATTTTACACCACTCGTGTGAAAAGTATTACTCATATATTATTCACTTTGATGCAAAACTTAAATAAATAAGTTGCTTAAAAAATAAAAAAAGTTCGTTTAAAAAATATAATTTCCGTCTAATAAATTTAAACGCTTTAAAGCAACAGCTTAAAATGATTATACCAATATAGATACTTGAAAATTAAAAATTAAATTAGAAAACAGGTATTTGAGTTATTTTTTCGATTTTCAGATCCAGATCAACCAGTAGATCCATAAAATAGTAAGTTTTTGAGACTTACATAAATCTTACATAAGTTGTAAAAATGTAATTATTATGCAATTTTGTCATTCGCTTTTTAAATGACTGTAATTTGGATGATAATATAAGTTTTTGTGCTTTACAAAGATATTATCAGTTTTAAAATGATTTTTAATAAAGCTGAAAATGTTTAATTATTATATTACAAATTTTTTTATAAACGAATATTTTATACATAATTAACTGATATTTTGAAATCACAATTATTGCGAATTTAAAACAATGGATACTAGTAAATCCTAAGATTTTATTCAAAATTGAAACACCTTGTAAATTCATATATAAGCTAATTATAAATAAATTATTTTTTTACATACAATTTTAATATATTTTTTTTTTAGATCCATGAAGTGTCCAAGATCTGGGTTCAAGACTGTGTACATCGGTATCTAGAACTGTTTTAATTATTTTTCACAACATTATTGCACGCTATATACAACTTATATAAATAAAATTCTGTTCTTAAATTGTTTTAAATGTATGTATGAAATCCCAGTACATAATGAAAAAATAAGTTTGCATTGTTAATACCATATTTTGTAACCTATAAATAATGTTATGTCTGTTATATATAACTGTCTTCCAATAAAAGTAATATTCACTGAATAAGTAAATTTGTATTTTATTATTTAATCTATTCCAACTATTTGTTTTTACTATAATTAGTGTAATTTTGTTGAGTAATATAATATAAATATTACCTACAACAAGTTTAATCATATTTTCTTAGTATCGTTATTTTGGTTTATAGTAACATATATAAGTTGGCATCATTTACAAACCATCGTGTGGTATTTTTAAGTATATATGTTTTTCTAAACTATTATCATCTACTCAATTGCCAAGAACAAATAACAAATCCAAAAAACACCGTTAAACGCAAATACTAGCTACAAAAGCTCTGCACGCGTGCTACAAGAAAAAATATGTTTTAAAATGTTTTATTACAATTGACCTAATTTAAAAGAAATACCGTAATAATAAAAATACAAAACAAATAAATAAAATAAAGTATATCGATGTAAAACCATAACTTACCTTTTACGCTTCGTATCAAAGCTGAAAATCAAAAATTAATATGTTTTTATGATTTATATCATAATATTAACAAAAATTACCACATGATAATATTTTTATTTTTATTTGTTTATAAACTAAACACGTTTTTCTTGATTGATATTTTATGTTGAAAAAAATATTATTACTTTTATAAAACCGTATTAACAGTTTCTAATCAAAATTTAAGAAAACTAACATGATTATTGGATTTTCCTCAAAATATCATCCTCTTTTGATTTCATAATATAAGTCAAGGAAATTAATAAGTTTTATGAATAGAATAATTTGTGTGCCAAAATTCATCCAATAGCCTTTTATGCTGCGGCTAATAATAATAATTTTATAATAAAAGCTGTGCGAGACGCGCATATGAAGTGAACCTATTTCCGATTTTTTTGGATTTGATGGAATATACCACTTTTTTGGATGAATAAAAATACACACAAATATATATTTATGTATAAAAGTGTAATTCAATATGCAATTTTGTTATTTGTTTTTCAAATGGCTGTAAGTTGGATAATATAAGTTTTTGTGCTTTACAAAGATACTAGCAGTTTTAAAATGGTTTTTAATAATGCTGAAAATGTTTAATTATTATATTTCAATTTTTTTATAAACAATTATTTTATACATTAAGTTCTGATATTGAAAATCACAATTATTGCGAAATTAAAACAATGGATACTAGTAAATCCTATGATTTTATTTAAAATGGAAACACCTTGTAAATTCATGTGTAAGCTAATTATAGTATAAATAAACGATTTTTTTACACAATATTTTTTTTTTTTTTTTAGATTAAGACTAACGGCAGTTAGTAATTTACCAACAAAGCTGAAGTATTCAAGATATGTGTCACATTCTGAAAGTAAATATAATTACTAATATGGGTGTATTATAAAATGTTAATCTTTGTTTATCATAATTGTTTCATCCTTCAGATTTTTCTATTAACTGTGTGTTCCAAATACCATATTTTGTTACACATAAATAATATTATGTCTGTTATATATAACTGTCTACCAATAAAAATAATATTCACCGAATAAATAAAGTTGTATTTTATTATCTAATCCATTCCAACTATTTGTTTTTACTATAATTAGTAAAATGTTGGATAGTAATATAATATAAATATAATCTACAAAAAGTTACGTGATGTTTTCTTGTAACGCTATTGTGGTTTATAGTAATACATAGAGTTTGACAACATTTACAAGCCTTCATATGGTATTTTTAAGTATGTATGTTTTGCTCAACTATTATCATCTACACAATTGTCAAGAACAAATAACGAAAAACAAAAACACGATAAAACGCAAATACTACCTACAAATGCTCTGCACGCCAGCTACAAGAAAAAAATATGTTTAAAATATTTCATTACAATAATGATTGACCTAATTTAAAAGAAATACCATAATAACGTGTTGAATTTACAAATTGTATCATCGGATTTTGTAGATGAGCGTAAAATAGTATTTTTAGTATGTCTATAATTTTTTACAATATTGTCAATAATGATCCGTATTGTGTTTATATATATATATATATATATATAATGAATAATATATATGATATATATATACTAAAGTGTAAATATATTTTTAAACACCCGTTCACTGTTAATTCACTCACACAAAGCAACCACGGTCAAAGTGTAATTTTTGGTTTTTCCTCGTAAAAATAAAATTTGCAAACAGATTTTTTAGAAAATTATATAACAGATAATATATGATCTCCTTAATAATCTCTAGACATATTTTTTTCTACAGAAGAAAAACTAAAATAGAAATAGGGTAATTTACAATTTAACCGATTAGATTTCCAGGTTGCTATTTGTAAATAAATCCACATTCATCGTTTATCAAAAAAACATTTCAATCATATACTAGTTGATTACGATAAATCGTATAGACGATACATATGTTTTATACAATTTTTATCGATGGTTAATATTTATACCATCTACTGATTCGTATCGAAAGCCTTTTTTCAGATCGTGTTTTATCACTTTCAGTATAAATTTGTATTCCCATTTCATTTTATATATTTTCTGATTAATTGATTTTATTTGTATTTTTTGTATATTCGAGATGCTTAAGAAAATGTATTAGTTTGGTTCGTTAACCCTTCGTTAGTGTGTGTTGCCTAAAATTATTTAGAAATCTTATGTCGCAGGGTTGTTAATAAACTTATTTGCAACACGGGGGTTTAATAAACCCCAACACACTAACGGAGGATTAAGTATAATGAGTATTGTATAATACCATTTAAAAATGCATCTTTGTACGTGTTTGACAACAGAGTGCGTTTTTATCAAGCTATCGAATAGCACACCAATTACGCAGATATACAGGTAGTATGATTATTTATTACACCTACTAACAACACAATGGGCAACAACAATACGGGCAAACCGCCCAACACACTGCCCTCATCCAGAAATAATTCACATTCAACACTAAACAGAAATCTAACTTCCAAAACTTATCTTACGACTGATAAATTAAATAAAAACTCAATTGCATCCAGCCATCAAACTAAAAGCAAGCATGCTCAATCGAAACCTTCAGCTGTCCTCGACCATAACTCCATCAAAAACACTGTTACAGCAAATAAAATCAACACCTCCTCCACTAACTCCGCCACCTCCAGTAGCGCAATCTTCCAAAATTCACCCATAATTACCGTACCCAGTGGTTCACAAGAAATTACTAATCAAAACCATACCTTTAACTATGCATCAATAACGACAAACGAAAACACTCCAAAAAGAGAACAGGCTATTGTCTTCAACTCAATCGATGGCATTCCCCAAAGCGAATACGTTATCGCAATAGGGAATATCATATTACCGAAAAACATAACATATGTATCTAGAATATCTAACAACCGCTTTTGTATATTTTTATCAAGTAAAGAAATATTGGAATCTCTATTATCAATAACCCAATCAATCACCATTCATAATCAAGAAATACAACTACGCCGACTACTAAACCCAGCTAAAAGGATCGTTATCTCCAACGTATGCCCATCAATATCTAATCAAGCCATACATAACGCACTAAAAGACATTGATATCACTCCCGTGTCTCCTATTAACTACTTAAAAGCCGGTATTAATATTGAAGGCTATGAACATATCTTAAGTTTTCGCAGACAAATGTATTTAAAACCCGAAGACGTCGCAAAAATTCCCGACTCAATTATAATTAATTTGAACCAAAACCAGTTCAGAATTTTCTTTACGGACGATCTCATAACTTATTATCTATGCAAAGCCACCGGCCATACCTCTAATTCTTGTAAAAAAAACACCACAAAGGGCATTAATAAACCTCAAAATACTGACCTAGACATCTCATCACCTATGCCAGATGCATCTTCAGACAACTCAACCGTATCAATTGAAAACATTGAACCTCCAAAAGTCGCTCTACTCGACGATTATACATCGCCTACCAATATGGATTGGTCAACTGAAACCGAATGTCAAACCATAACAAACCTTTCAACAGTTCCTCAACCCTTATACGAAAATCTGGCTCAAACATCTTCGTCATCCCAAAATAAATCAGCCACCCCTTCTCATAGTTCGTAATTACAAACGTCAATAGTTGATACTCCAAAAATCCAAAACAAGAGACCAACCTCAGACACATCCTCTCAAAACTCCACCAAATTAACCTAATTATATTTAAAATAAATAGGGCCAAAGCTAAACTCATTATAAATAACAGCAAAAGCGAATCTTGGAAAAAGTTTACGTCCACCATGTCCCCCTCCACCCCTCCTGCGAATATCTGGAACCGAATAAAAGCAATTAAAAACTTACCTCAAAATAACTCAATTCAAATTCTTGAACATAACAATCAAATGCTAGCATCTCCAGATGATATAGCAAACGCCCTTGGAAAAAAATTCGCCCTACACAGTGACAACTCATCGCTAGACAGTAATTTCGTCAAACACAAAATCGAAGTTGAAAAATAGATCAACTTCATTCCTCACAAACTATCCGTTATCCGAAGATTCATCCTTTCTTAATATTGATATAACAAAGGAAGAAATTACTCAAACCTTATCTCATTGCAAAAGTAAAAGCGGCGGACCAGATGATATACCATTTGACTTCATTAAACATTTACCAACCAACGGTATTGAACTTATACAACAAAATTTGGAACGAGGGTTTCTTTCCCACCAATTGAAAAACGGCAACTGTAATCCCTATTAAAAAAACCCAACCTCAATAGCCATTCTTCCGACGGTTATAGACCTATATCGTTGTTATGCACGCTAAGCAAGCTACTAGAAAAAACTATAAATAAGAGACTGTCTTTTTACCTAGAAAAGAACAATCTTCTTAACAATTTTCAATCGGGTTTCCGCAAAGGCAGATCAACATACGATTATCTTTCAGATATAGAAACGGAAATTATAGAAACACAAGCTCAG